TGGGGGGGGGGGTCCCAGAGATTTACTCAGCTGTAGCAGCTGACATGTTTACCAAATGAGGTTCTGCCATACAGTTCTCAGCAGGACAAACCTCTGTATGGGGTCTGTAGCTAAGCATTATAAATTACTTGGACAAAAGGGAGAAGAGGTTGTTTTTGTGTGTGTGTGTGGGGTAACCTAGTAGCAAGCCATACGCTCCAAACCACTGTGACAGACCCAGCTTTGGTACCCAAACCTGGTCTCCTGTGCCAGGAGCCACTGGTGTCTGGCAGCACTAAAAAAAAAAATTCTATTTAACCACTAGCATGGGGGAACATGGTGCCTTGTTGCTCTACAGTACTTTGTGCGTCCCAAAGAAGAGTAGCATTGATGGACCCTGAAAGGGACCTATCAAGCCATTCTCAGCCAAAAATACCCTCCTGAGAACTTGAGATTAATAGGCATGTACTTAGACTGTAAGATCTTTGGGACAGGAACTGTTTTTTTGCTCTGTTTGTACAGCACCTAGCACGAAGGTGTCCTCCGTCCTACAATAACAATAGGCACCTATGCTCCCTACACAATGCAGGAGAGATAGGCACCTAAAAATGGGATCCACAAAAGCCGGCATGCTAGATGGAGAGATGCCAACCTGAGGGTGTATCCTAAGCCCCACCCCTCTCACAGAGATAGGCACCTAACTACAGGCTGAAGGCAGGTGCCCTTTTCTGTTTGTGACCTACAGCCAGGAACTCCTCTCCTGGAGTGGAGCACTTTAGGTGCTTAAGCTGCTTCTTAGGAAGGTCAGGCACCTGCCTAATTTGAAACAAAATGGCTAGAAGAGGAGAAGGTGGTACTACCACCCCTGTAACTTTTAGCCCAGAGGTTAGCACACACCTGGGATGCTGGAGACCCAGATTCAATTCCCCCCATAGCCTGATCAGGAGAAAGGATTTGAACAGACTCCCACCTCTCCTGAGAGTGCCCTACCCACTGGGCTCTGGGATGTTCTGAGTGGGTGTCCATGAATCTCTCCTGTTGATGCTGTTTTTGGATAAAATAATTAGCCATTGGGCCACTGAGAGAAAGTGAGAATGATTCCATAGCATGGTGGTTAGTCAACCCAGGTGGGAGTGCAGAGGGACTAGAGCAGGGGTCAGCAACCTTTTGGAAGTGGTGTGTCAAGTCTTCATTAATTCGTGGTAATTTAAGGTTTTGCGTGCCAGTAATACATTTTACATTTACAGGGGCCGGCGGATGGTACCCCAGACTGGCAGCGGGCTGAGCAGATCGGCGGCTGGGACCCAGGCCTGCAGTGGGCTGAGCCGCTCAGCCCGCTGCTGGTCTGGGGTTCCTTCCGCCGGCCCCTGCCAGCCGGGATCCCGTCTGCCGGCCGGGGTTCCATCCATCCAGGCCGGCAACAGGCTGAGCGGGCCAACGGCCGGGACACCAGGCTGGCAGCAGAGTGCCACAGGTTGCCGACCCCTGGACTAGAGCATCCTGAGTGAGGCAGCAGCGGAAATACCAAAAAGCAGAAACTTAGGTGGGTAAGGAACTTTTACAGCAAAAATAGGTGGCAAGTGAGTTTAGGCTCTGGCCTGGGGAGTTAGATGGCACCAGAGGGGAGCAGGGCAATGGTGGCTAAATCCTTTTGGGGATTTGGCTGAGGTGTCTAGTCACTTGAGGCCACACAGAGCTTTTCAGAGTCAGAGTGATAAACGGAAGTGACGCAGGTAAACTGATGCAACCCCCCACCCAGGATCTGGTGCTATCCTGAGGCTGTCAGGAGTAGCCCAGTTCCTTCCTTTCCACAGGCATGTGGTGCCACTTAGTGGAAAGCTGTGAAAAAACTCTGAGTTTATTGAATTGTATCAGCAAAGGGGCCCGGGCTGGTGCCAGCGAAGGGGGAGCAGGGCTCAGGCTGGCTTTAAACAGCCTCATTCCTGAGGTAAATGCTACCGCTCTGCTCTGCCCATGGTGCTGCCCAGAGCCTTTGCCCCCCGGCATTGCAGTGACTTACTCGTCCCCAGCTGGAGAGGGGGCTGTGTTTGTGCTGGAGCCTCTGGAAGGTGCCCGAGGGCCGGGCTCCCCTGGCGGTTGGGTGGGAGTGCCCTGGCTAGAGCCGCAGGGTGGCCGTGCCGTGCTGGGTGGGGCCCAGCCACTGCTTGGCTCTGGTAGCCGCCTCCTGCAGCCCAATCTGCCTTGTGATGAAGATAACGACGCCTCCCTGGGCCTGAGGGACGGGACACGCGGCCCCGCCAGCCGCCCCCCAGAGCCCGGCCTGTTCACTCTGAAGCCTATCGATGGGAGCCGGTCACGGAGGGGGGAAACCCCAGAGACTCGCCCCGGCGCGGCTCCTCGCCCCAGTCCTGCACGGGGCGGGCACAGCCCGGCCGCGGCGGTGCCTGACCAGACCCGACCGGCCCTGCCTGGCAAAGCTGCCCAGTCTCCCGAGATAAAT